CTTTGAAAAAAGGAGAAAAGGTTAAATCCTGCCGGCATCTTGTCATATTTATTTGCCTGTTGTGCTTTGATGCCATATTTGGCCAAGTTAACTCGATCAAACCACCAACAGACCCTGACGTACCAACATTTGCAGAAAGTTCAGGTACAAATTTTTCTGACATTTTCTGAATACTTCAGGCGAACTTAAGAAAAACTGAGACAAATTATTTCAAACAGCTGCAGCACAAAGAAAAATAAACATATGTGAGAGTAGAAACTGCACTTAGACACGTGTGTTTGTATCATAGAAAACTGAGGCTAACCCACAGTTTCGAAGAATCCATCCATGGGTCCAAAAAGTTATAATAGAATAGGATTTATTTTAAATTGCAACATGTAACAAAACAGGGTGTTTCAAATAATACATCACGAGTAACCCACCCAATAAAAGAATTAAAATAAATCATTTTATTTAGAGCATTTTTACATGAAATTAAAATAGGTAAAAATTTAAATTAAATTAGAGTTATATAAATAAAACCTACCAGGTAAGTTAAAAAATAAACAACACTGGATATGAGGTTAAGAAAAAATTAAATAAAATTAATAAATAAAATCTACAATGTAAAAATATACATGAATAAAATTTCTAGAAGTAAATTTATTAACAGATTTTCACTTTTTAAGATTGCAATAAAAAGCAAATAATGTTTAAATATGAATTATGTAAATATAGCGACATGTTTTAAATTGAACTGAAACAAAAATATTTTTCTTATTTTTAATTTTTTTTTTTCAAATTTCTTTAGACATAAAACAACGTTTAATGAAAGAAGTAGTTTTAAAATGAAAGACAAATTCATTACAGGCAAAGCAATATTAGCCACATATTGAAACTCTTAGAAACAAAACAAATAAGATTAATTTTAAATGAATTTTAAATATGGGATACCATTTAGAGCAACATTTTTAATTTGATAATAATAAAAAAAAATAAAGTTCTAATACAGAAAAAAGGGAATGTAAACTTAACCTGCATGTACATTACCATGAGGAAAATGAGATTTGACGCAGACACGTCGTCATTATCCTTCTTGATCAATGGCGACATCTAGTGGTAGACTGGAGACAGTTGTTTTTCTAGGTTAATGCATTTCTGCGGATGATTAATAAAAATAACCTTAGTTTATTAAGGTATGGACCAATTTTATTTTAAAAAGACTGCTTTATTCAACTTTATTTCATCTTTAAATAATATTTTTGAAATCTATAAATTTATATTCTGGTTCAGTGCAATTTAGTGATAAACTTCACATTAAAACATCCCTACAACAAATAAGCAAACAGAACATAATTCTTTAAGAAATAATCTGAAATGGATAGGTAAAAGACACCGCCATATAAGCTAAGGACTATTCCTAAACTTTAAGCCTATAAAAAAGACATTTTTTGGAATAAACTTAGAACAGTATTAGGATGGTCATCTTGATTTGAAGGGACGGATATTTTCTACAAATAATGGTCAGTTATTGATAAAGGTTCTATCAGCTGGAAGAAGCATCAATCAATACATGACTTCAAATATCTGACTGTATATAAGAAGGCAGATGGTCTGGTTAGATGGTGATATCTGATCTTTTATGCATTAAAAAACAAACCTGTGAATCTTTCAATAGGGCCTGAATTGAAGTAATCTACAGCAGTGTACATTGTAAGGGGTACATGAAAATATTTTATTTAAGGTAATAAAATAAAATAAAATAAAATAGGGTTGTGATCGGTTTTTTACTTTGTGAGGACCCAAATAAAAAGCTATAAGCTATCAGAGCTCATCAAAGCGAGCTCAGGTGTATTGATGAAAACAAAGGAAAAAGAAAAAGATAGGTAACAGGACGAGCAGGTAGGACGGCCTTCTGTAAACATATCACCAGAGTGATTGACAATTAAGAAGACCACTTATTTTGATGATAAAAGTCCCCGATTCATCAAGCTAATGTGATAGGAGAGTTACTAAGAGGAGCTCCAGTTTTATAAATACAGGTTTATAATAGAAAACTTTTTTTTTTTTTTATTCCTTACTAACTTCCAGGCAACATACTTTTTTTTCTTTATTTGAGATGGAAAGAATGAAATGCTCAAATTAAAAGATTTAGTAAAATATTTTTGGGCGATCATCAACACTTTTGACTTAGGGGGGTACTCATGGTAAGACAAAATATCCAAAGTGGTACACATGTCAAAAAAGGTTGGGAAACACTGGTCTACAGGAAAACTTACAAATGGCTGAGAGGGTTTGGTCTGGTTGCTATTTCTAGATATCTAGATAGATATTGCTGTCGCTTTCATACTTACTCTACATTCAGGTTTGCACATTTTTTAATTACATCTTTAGTCTAAAATACAGGCAATACTCAGTTTTTCTACATCACAATAAATACTAATCAACTAAAAATTAAGCATGAATGATTTGAATAAATCCAATTTTCCCAAATTTTTCTTTCTGTCTCCAAAAAGAGAGAGATAGATAGAGAGCGAGAGTCCTTCTTTTTACCACTTGATAAAGTACCACAGTAAGGTATTTCAACTTGACAACAGACAGAGATTTATGCTGCATGTCCTTCCTTACAGCTCTTTGGTCTTGGTCACGGTTGAGTTTGGAGTTTGATTGAGTCTGTGGACAGGTGTCTGTTATACAGATAACCAGTTCAAGCAGGACCATTAAAGTTACAGGTCTGTGAGGAACAGACTTTTATTAACATTTATTTTCCACCATAATAAAAAAAAAAATACTTTCTTAAAAAATCCTGAAGTGTGATTTCCTGGATCCCTATTCTCATTTTGTCTCTCAGAGTTGAAGTGCACTTATGATGAACATAACAGACCTCTCTAATCGTTCTATATAGGACAGCCGGTACCATCATTGGCTGACTAGATACATTTTTGCCTCATTCTAATTCAGGAAACAGCAAATGGCCTTTAGTGAGCATAAAGAACCTTTCCAAGTCAGGCGACTCCAAAGTGTACCTTCACCCACACATTCAAACACTTATGGGGGCAAACAACGATGTCACAACTGCACTGGGGCACTCTGACAAAAGCCAGGCTGCCGCACACAGGCGGCACTGGGCCCTCTGATCACCTTTATTTAGTAATGCAGGTGAAGAAAACACCCAAAAAACAATGACTGAGATGGACAGAGCTGCAGGACAATCCTACGCCTGTATCGCCAAAGATATTAGTTCCTACAAAACAAAAGCCTCCAACATAAACTTGTCTGTATCTTCAATTGGAACTGAAAAACAGAAGGTTAAATTAAGTTTTTATACACATTTGTTTCTTTACCATTGGAAGGCATTTTGGTATAAAGGCGGTTACTTTTTTAATTAGTGTATGTATGAAAAATTATGAAAATATATGTTTTACCTAATTAAATCTTTGTTAATGTTATATAAAGATTAATTAGAGATCCTCCTGTTTGATTTTGGAAAATCTGATTGTGATAATCAGGCAGGAAAGGGCACAGCAGATGCCTGAACATCTCCTTGATGGTATTAACAGCATGTAATTGTGTTCAGCTTTCATACCAGGCTAATTTTGTGCTTAAGAGCTGTCTGGCACAGACCTGGTATGATTCCCTGTAGTTGGGTCTTTGTGCCACCCGAGGGTTCCCCTTCTGCTGCCGGTGCTTGGCCATCTGGTTCCTCTGTCCTCCAACTGTATAATTTGTTCTTGACATTAAGAGTTTTAAAGGGTTTTTGTTCAGTTCTTTCTTTAGGCAAAAGACACACCAGGAACCGCTTTTTACTTTTTTGGCTTCTTTCTTACCAAATGAAAAATCTTGATATTCGAAAACTATTATGTATTAGCAGAAGCTTGGCTCAGCAGGATGGTGCTCTTTGATAACAGCAGGGGCAGTGTTTGAACTGCACTGTCTCTGGTGGCATGCACAGGGGGACAGATGGTGACTCTGGGACAGCCAGAGTCAGATCTAAATAAAGAATTTTACCAAGAACACAGCAGATTAAAGTACTTTTAGATTACAATGGGGGCACACAGGTCATGATGCCCAAAGACTAGGATAAAAATCTACACATTCTTTTTGGTATTTCTAATTAAAACTGTATTTCATTCACTCTAGTAACTTTTTTTTTTTCAGGTTTCAAGGCCCAGTTAAGCTCATAATTAGATGTTAATGTGGCCTTAGTTAACATTTGTCTACAGTTTAAGATAAATCATGTCTGTAATGAAGATAATTTTTGAAAATGGAAGCAAGTATCTAGCTGGAAGAGTTAGGATGTATTAATACAAAAACAAAAACAAAAGTAGAACAGATTGAGTATTGTTACAGGTTTTAGTACATGACGCACAGTGCAGTCATACGCAGTACTTAGTGTTGCTGTAATACCATCTACATACACTAGGGGTCAGCATTAATTTATCTGGAAAACACAACAACAAGTTCATGAAACTAACCCCAGGCATTAAGTATTTTACCTAATTCATTTTTCTATTATTTTTTACTTTTATGTTTTATCCCAAGTCTGTGTTAATGCTTTTCAAATAGGTATGAAAAAATCAGTCATCGAAAATGACCATCCGAGTTTGGCAAAATAAGTAAGTTTCGCTAAAAAAAATAAATAAAAATAAAATAAAATAAATAAATACATAAATAAAAATAAGAGAGTTAGTACTTGAGAAATTAATGTCAGTGAAAAAAAAATCTTTTTTCATGTAAAAAGAATTTGCATATCCCCGCTACCTGATGTAAATTACGCGTTTCGGTCAAAAGAAGATGGGTTCAGCGGCGAAAAAAAGCGAAGGCTTTAAGTTTTATATAATTAACTTATTTTGTAACACTAAATGGTCAGAAGTTTCCTCTTTTTTGCATATAAGCTTTGTTTAAAGTCCACTCAGGAAGATTTGAGCTAAAAGTCGATCTGTTTGTACCCCCCCTAACTGACCAGGAAGGAGTACCGGAGTGATGCCTCTCGCTCCGCCTAGACGATCTTCGACGTTAAACTGACAAACTGAGCGACATTTTCTGCACAGCATCATCAGTGCTGACGTGGGAGCTACGTGAGCGAAGGCGAGGCGCAGGCCGTCCAGCCATACTGTCATTAGTGACGAGTCAGACTACGTAAAAACTTCGGTAAGTCGCCGCAAAGCAGACACTTTCTTTTGTTCGGGGGGGTCAGCGCCGAACCGATGGAAGGTGTGCAAACGCAAACTTGGTGCGCATTTTTTCTCAATTAAAAGTAGTTTTTTTGTTGTCAGTAAACAGCTGAGCAACACGGTGAGAAAAAAAAAACAGTTCTCAGACAGCTCGGCTGTCAGCACTTTTTCCAGCTCTGCGTCAGAGATAGGTTTGGGAGGATAGGGATTATTCCTCTTCAAAATAAAACTTTATGAAGCAAAAACATTTTGATGATGTCAGTTATTTTTACTTAAATACACTTTTTTAGAAATAATATATCGCACAAAATTCTAAATAATACCCAGAGATTTAGCATTACATTTAGTCATTCCTTTCCAGGTTTTACATTTTATTTTTGAAAAATAAACATATAAATTTGTCCTTGCAATAAGAAAAAAGTTTTAACATTTCATGTTTTTGAAAAGTCCAACTACTTAACTCTTTATGTGGCACTCAGTGAAATTCTTTAAAAATTCAAATTTCAATCAAATAGTGTTATTAGGATCCAGGACAAGACCTTATTACCTTTGTAAAATTCAGGAAATAGGATATTTTGATGTCAAAAATGAATATTAATGTAATAATAACAAGGAATGCCAACTTTCCTGAATATATTAAGAAAAATAACAAAAGTGCTTCTATAAGAAATTCATTAGAAAAACACTCTGAGAGTGAAAGAAACACATTTTATTTTGGTACAACATAACCTTAGAGGCATTAATGCTGATACTGGCACTTACATTTTTTAGTTTTTAAACATAAATAAGTGTTAACTAGGCTTAAAAAAATTTTTATTTTACTTTTTAACTTCTCATTTAGCTTTTTACCTTTTTTTCTTGACTTGCTAACTTATAATATATCATTAAAGGGCTCATCTAATTGATCAAATGCGAAAATAAGATGTACAGCCATGTAGCAGCATCTTTACTGAATGGCTGGATATAGATCTTGTTCTATATCCAGGACGGGGGGTGGGGGCATCATGCAAGTGATCAAAAAAAGCATACTTGTCTGCATGTCTGCATTGCCCTATAATGCAGACATTATAGGGCAATGCATTACGTAGATCTCTACAACCTGCTGCATAAATGTATTACATAAACTCACAATTTCTCTAATGAAAATAAAGTGTCTAAGAAGGGATTGTCCACAAAGGAGCACATGAGCTGCATACACACAATACAGTTTTATACAGGATTTTTCTTTATGGAATTTTTTAGGGATTTTCCTGTTTTTAACTTTTAAATGCAATTTAACAATTCGTATATCAATTCTATAATTTTACTTTGTGGATACAATTATACAAAAGAGCAACAAAATGTGTAGTTGATCAAATTTAATGCCTAAGTAGTTGTTAATAATCGTAAAATTTTACTTGTGATTGTTTGACAGGAACTAGTTGGTATTAAAGGGGGTTCAATGGCAGGTTATAAGCCTTTTAAGCCATTCCCTATAACTGGCATAGAATTTATAAGAAATTTTAAGCCATTTCTCCCTTATTTTTAAACTTAGTGTCTCATCATTTTTAAAACTCAAAATGTTTTTTTTTAGCTTAACTGAACTGCGTCGTTTTTGTTTACCCGATTAGACTTTGTAGGTACATAACCAACATGCAGATATGGGGTCAATAAGGGCAGAGAAAAGCTGCAAAAAATTGCATCAAGGTGGAATTTTCCATAGTACATTATTAACTGGCTGTAGATATATTTCAGATAACGTCACTGGTAAAAAAAAATAAAATAAAAAATAAAATAAAGTGTCATCCCTTATGAACCAGTCTTTATGTCCATGTGGGTTGTATTCAACCAAGAAAAAAGTCAGTATGGAGCCTGTTTGGCACCTAACCCTGCTCAGTAAATCCACCTGGAACAAAAATAAGAATCAGATATCTATCAATGTGTTAAAAAAACAAACAAAAAACAAATCCTGACACATTTTGTGTTTATGCATCCTTATCCTTTTACATAAGGCTAACCCATAAACTGACTTTACTTAGAAAGTTGGTAACTTAAGGTTTGGTATAGTGAAACTGAGTTTAGTGTCTGTATGTCTGTAAGCATGTGAAGAGAGAGAGTTTAATTGTCTTCTGTTGAAAAATTTGTGATGAAGGTTGGAAGTCAATTAGGGGAAAAATGTAATGTTCTCAACATTAAAACTTTGGTTTTCATCAGTATTTGACTCTTAAATTGCAGTTTTCAGAACATGAATCATGTTGTTTTGCTTTGCAAGCTCTTAGTCCACATATAGAGAAAGAACCTATAGGGGTAGAAATGATGGACAACATGGAACCGCCTCCAAGACAAAATCTATCATTTTGGCTTAGAGGCTTGAAATAAGCATGTTATTTAATTCTGTACAAAAAATTTTGCATGCTGGGCAACAGTTGATTTTTTTTAAATCACATTTTTATCCTGTAAATGGTTTCTCAGCGTCACAGACCGAAAAAAAATATTTTGAACTGAAAGTGGAACTGTTGTGTTCCATCTTATTGCTGTTTCAGTTTTAGCTCTGCTTCTTTTTCCTTCATTCATTTTCAGTCTAAATGCCGTAAACGGAGTGATAAGGATTCAGCTTTGTTAGCAAGGCTCTTCAGCTTAGAAAAGAAAGATTTGCGTGTAAGAAGACATTTTTAAGATTTAAACAAACATGACTGAAAAGCCTATTTAGAAGGGATGGGCTGTTTCTTTGTCTATGGAGGAGATACCATACATGTATCCCAGGGAAAACCATCAATGCCATCTGATACGGTTTGGTGTCGGTCTCTGTTGCTGCGTTAATAACTGCGTATATGCCTAGGTGACCATGGATACGTCGGTGTCGTCTCAGCTGGATAGCAGTTTAAATGATTCAGTGACAGATGGAGAGAAGGATCACAGAGAAGCCAACGCATCTCCTGCAGCCTCCAATCAGGTACACTCAATGATTTAGTGAAACATCGAACTCTTAAAGCTTTTTTAAATTACTTTAGAGGATTTTATTATGATGCTGTTGATTTTTTTCTTTTTCTGCAGGTTTTGTTGCAAACAGAATCTGAAGTGGCTGTCGTCCAGCTGTCTGACAGTCAAACCTCATCAGTGCAAGGAGTCATCCAAGCCCCTCAGACCTCTGTAATCCAGTCACCACAAGTGCAGACTGTCCAGGTGGGAGCATGAACCTTCCCGCTTAAATGTTCCAGGTCATGAAAGCGGCGAGTCAAGTTTCTAAAGGGTTAAGGGCAGCGTCCTTTAAAACATGGCCATGCCTAACCTCTCTGAGAAGGTCTAAAGATAAGCAAACCCCAAATTAACAAATTCTGCTTGTTTGGTTTTAACAAAACTGTCACAGATATGATGCTAATGTTTAGTGTGCAGTGATGACACATCTATTAATAGTAGTCATTTTTTAGTCAGAAACAACCAATTTTAAAAAAACGTGACACTTAAAGGGGATCAATTTAGTGGCAAAAAGCTCCAATATCAGGTATCTGCTAGCAACTAAAGATAATAGAGCTTTATTAATCAGTTGTTTATAGTTCACTAAGTTTCATCGGAAGTTAAATGAGTGAAAAAAGTCTGCAAAAGGTTAAAAATCATCCGTAAAATTCCAGTGTCAGCCAAAACACAGAAAGGAGAAGAACTCTGCTGTCCATCTGCAGTGACGTAATCCAGTTTATCTGATGCAGCAGTGGGACTCAATTTTCAATTTTTTTCAATTTTGACCTTTTTTCTGTTTTCTATTACTATTTTTCTCACGTAAGTTTCCAAACACTTTAATTGGTTATAGTTCCCTTCGATGCATTAAAAAAATGTAGTTGAAATTACCGTATTTTCACGACCATAAGGCGCACCGTACTAAAAGGCGCAGTCTCAGTTACAGTATGTGTGCCATTACTGTATTTAACACACACATAAGGCACACCGGACTACAGGGCGCGGTTTTTATATACCGGTACATATCCTCTACTACGTTTAAATACCTCTACTGCGTATTTAAAAATAGAGCGGGAGCAAAACTGAGTATTATTGTGCTTTATTCATGTATTTATTACCAAGTATTAATCAAACCTGGGAGCTGGCCGTGAGACAGACACATGATCACTCCTCTGAAACAGCTTATTGACGCATAAATTAACTTAAAATGCAGAAATCTGCCGGCAGAATATGTTCGCTTTTATTATCCTGGTGCCTGCAGTTTAGATTGTACCAGCTTTGCAGCTCCAGCTGCACGGTGCAAAAGTGTGTCTGACGCGAGTTGGGCGGAGCTATCCTATCTTTTCTCTGCCTTGCAGCTATATTTGCTGTGATCAGTGGGAATAAAGTAGTTTTAATATGTTTTTAAGTGGGAAAATCCACCTGAAAACTTAATTCAACAGCAGCCTCTGGGCCGGGTTGCCTTCTCGCGGTTCACCACGGCGGCTGGTAGGTGTTTTTCATCAAAATAATCCAAACTGCAGGCACCAGGATAATAAAAGCGAACATATTCTGTCAGCAGGTTTCAGCATTTTAAGTTAATTTATGCGTTAATAAACTGTTTCAGAGGAGCAATCACAGCGCTCTGTATCATCAGCGATGTGTCTGTCTCTCTGTCAGCTCCCAGATCAGCGTCTCTGATTGGTTGATGCAGCAAAACTTCAATTTTTCCATCTCGAGCAGCAGCGTGTTTGCGGCGTGTCAGATGCTTAAACGCTCACGACGCGCTGCGCCTGCTGCTCAAAACGCGCTGCGGGACCTTTTGCTGCGTCTTGACGCGCCTCAACCATTGACTTTGCATGTAAACTCGCTGCTTCTGCCGCGCCTGCTGCGTCCGGTGTGAACGTAGCATTACTTTGAACGGCCGGTACACACCGATGTCGAGCGGTTGAAGTTCCTTTGTCAGACCTCCCGGAATAACAGCAAGCCCAGCGTTCATTTGTTTCACCATGTTTTTCACATCAGCTGTGAGATGGGCACGCATGGAGTCACAGATTAACAGCGATGGTGATGCTGGAAAAAAACACCTGGTCTCCTTACATTCACCTCCCTCAGCCACTCTTTCATCATCTCCTCAATGAGGAGATGAGGAGTTCTGCATAAAGCACATACCTGTTCTTTTATACACAATCCATGCCCACACTTCCCCTTTTAAACTTCTCATGGTGGTCTCAAACGTCCGCAGTAACAACACACATAGGGCGCCCCGCACATTTTGAGGGAAAAAAAAGACGTTTATATGCGCCTTATAGTCGCGAAAATATGGTATGTCAAACCCGTTAGGCGGTGGAGGCTAACCAGCTAGCCTGTGTTGATTTTAATTAGAAATGAAAAACAATTAACAATGATTTTAAAGACACCAGTTTATATAGTCTCTGTTCAATTGTGTATCCACCTTGCAAAGGCCCTGCTTATGAATTTACCTGTAACTCCTGCGACTGAAGAAGAGACTAAACGTTTCAACAAAGAGGAACCCGTGTGGAGGACTTTTAGCACCTTTTATCAAAAAGGAAAATGCATCCAACAAAATAGCTGCTAGCCTAAATGTGTCCATACATAGACACATTTTTTTAGAAAAGGACCTTGCACCTAATTTTAATTGTGTGATGCTTTAAGAAAGTTTCACTTCCAATGGCCCATGCTTTTCAATTCCAGATGCTTGGAAATACCTTTATGGGGCTGCAAGCCGACATGCGGCAGTCAGCTGATTGAGCTGCTTCCCTTTACTTCAGCTGTAGCTGCAGTTTTAGCTTAATCATTCCAGATTCTTGTAAATAGCAGAACATTTTAAACACAAAGGTGGTAACTTCTCCAAGAAACTGAAAATAGATGTTCACCGGAACATTCAGTAGGATGATGATCCAAAACATGCCGTTATAATAGCTATGTTGACATGCGCAACATTTCTGTGATCTGATCTAAACCTAAGTTGATGATAAATTCAAAATCTCTGTCAGATAAAATGATCCCACCATCTGGTACATGTATACACATGCGCCAAGCGTTCGGTTAGATTAAATCATTTAAGCATGCACAGAACTCTCTAACTATGCAGAAAAAAACATCATTCTCATGTTGCACACATGCGCCGTGGATTTTATTTTTTCACTCCAAAGATCCAAAGGGGTGTTTAGATTGACCCCAGTCATAATGGGGATCGGCAAAAACCACCTCTTTCTTTGGGAATTCCATTTCTTTCCAATCGGACCGAATCGGATTCGATTCTTTAGTCTGACATGTTTAGGTTAAACATTTTTGATCTGATCAGGTCTTCAATTCGATTATTTGTGTCCATGTAACATGACACAGAAATATTTCCACGGAAACAAAGTCCGCCTTTCTCCATGCCCGTCTTAGTCCTTAGACATATTTCCAACAGAAAAGAAGCAGAAAGTAGGAGGATCTTAATAAAATAAGCAATAAGGACTGGATTCTTATTCCTCCAAAATAAGACTGTCACAGAAATATTGGTATTACGGTGGCTGTACAGGGTCACAACTGAAGATTTGTCAATAAACAATGTCCTTATGATTTTATGTAAAAGCAAAAAGGACATTTTTATTTAGGCAATTTCTCCAGACTGAATTAATGCATTGTAATTAAAGGAGGGACTATGAGTCGGAGATAGTGCTCAAATTGATATGTCTTTATCAAGAATACCAGTAATCTGAGGACAATCTTTCTTGGAAGATGAAAAAAAAACAAAAACTGCAGCTTTTTAGAAAAACAGTATCTTTCTCATCATTAAAGCATAATGGTGTTTGGACTGTTTTCTGCAGGGTGATAATCAAGAGAGAAGCCCATTATTAATAGACCTATAATTTCCTGACCTGAAATAAAAAATAAGTGTTTTTTATAAAAACCAAAGCAAAAATTGTGTATTAAATGAAAACCGTTTGTGTTTCTTTAATTGCCCATAAAACAACTACAACTATATGAAATCAAGCCCTTTAACTTTGGTACATAATGTCTCATTTAGGACCAAATGTAAATGATTGCAGATCTAGAGCTTGATTTCCTCAAGTTAACATGTGCTGAGAACATATAACTGTGTGCGTGTGCTGGCTGCAGCGCGGGATATGGTGTTTGTGAATGAACAGTAGCTGCTGTGTGTAGGCGAGGAAGAGTGTCTGTTAACAGGGTTCAAGTGAGAAGCAGGAACTGAGGTTTTTACGCCTCTGAACCTAAACCCTCACAGAAACAGAAAACAAGAATATATTCTGAGATGTAAAACTGTAATATTCTGAATGAAACACTGAATCCGATGCATTGTGCAAATATGGCAACATTTTAGCAATAGAAGAAAAAAACAAACATGAGTTCTGAGAGCGGAAATGAAACAATTATTACCAGGAAACGGCATCAGCACATCTGCAACATTTGTTGCAAAATGGAGACAAGTTAGTCATTTCATAAGAAGGTGTTTAATAAGGAAATGGTCTCACAGAGACATCTGTGAAATGCACTGTGGTGTTGCACCAGTAAACACCACAGAGTGGTTTGCCATTTTATTTCAGGTGCTCTCTTCTTCATATCAGAGAGTCTATCAGTGGTAAATGTGGTCAGTGTGCCCCGTATTCTTATAACTCTAGAACATTCAAATGGGCTCCTCATAAAACCTGAAATGAGATGCATAAACACTGCTTAGGATATGCACTAAAACAATCCACATGAGCTGGATGATCTCTCTCTTTTAAGAGCATATAATCAGTCATTCTTAGACTATTATCCAGAGGGAATCTTTTGAGAAACCTACGTTAACTCTGCATTTTAACGCAGTGTAAGTATCCCGTTCTAATGACACCAAAACAACCTTTATGCTGGTAACACAAAGCTATTACGCCTCAGACTGAGTCACAGAAGCCCACACAGTGATGACACAGAGCCTGATCTACTGTATGTTTAATTTGAATCCAATAATACAGTTTAAATGCTTGATATTTACAATTACATAGTGAGCTCACACTTAGAGAGCCGTGAACAAATGATTATAGAGTATTAAAAAGAGTCTGTAGGGTCTCTGTTGAGACATGTAATGGGTTGAAAAGATTAAATCTTAAAATTATAACCAGCTCAAATTCCCTCTTTGACGTCATGTTCTTTTTTTTCCAAGCATGCACCACAGAATGACTGGTGCAAAGAGAACACCTCCCTTCCTCAAGTCATAAACATTAGAGATGTTTGACTCACCACTTTTACCATATGTGGCTAAAGCAATAAAAACTCTATTGGGGTTTTATGTGATAGATTAGCACAGAGTGGTGCATAATTATAAATTGTTTTTAAGTTATAAGTTGTTTTTTTATTTTTATTCTGTTGCATTTAGTAAAATACTTGTAAATAAAACTGAATGCAAGCAATTACCTTCAGAAATTGGTTCATTATACAGTGAACATTTGTGTAATTTATTCTGTTTAAATCCAGATATTCTGCAAAGCCTTCATAGGTTTTTTTTTAGACTAGTGATCAAACAATATCATGAAGACTCGGTTACACATTAAGCAGGTCAGGAAGCAAGTTTAGGAGAAGTTTAAAGCAGGGTTAGGTAATAAAAGGATATCCCCAGCTTTGATATCTCACTGAACTCTGGTAAACCTGCCAAGACGCAACCAATTAACATCCAAAACTGATTTAACAGGGAGAGTATAACATAAGAAGCTGCCAAAAATAATAAAGACCTGTTTAATACAAGTCATATATGACGGCACACGTGGAAGAAAATCCTCTGGTTTATTGAGACAGATAAAAGACTCTGCACATCTCCCTGAACACAACATCCAGCATGGTTGCATCATGCTGTGGGACTTTTTTTTCCTTCTTTTTCTTAATCAAGAACCTAGTCAGACCTGGTCCAATCAAAGTCCAAACTTAATCTATTTTGGAACAAGTATCACCACTTGAACATTGATAAACACAGAGACTGACTTGACTGAGGATGTGTTAGACAGCAGCGAAAGCCGGGAGTGGATTTTAGTCTTAAGGTGTGCAAGGTTGTCATTTTCATTCAGTTTAACTTATTTCAAAAGCACCAACTCAAAACACATGTTGTCCAAAGGCACTCCCCAAATTATGAAAGTCAATTTAAACACATTCCAGGCCAGGTATGGACATGTCAAATTTATCTCAGATATCAAGCAATGAAGTAGTGTTCAATTTATTATGAAAAAAAAAAGTTTTCTAATTAAGGAAAACTAGCAGATTTCATCCAGTCATTGACCTGCAGAATTCCTTCATCCTGGATGAGCATGTAGCAGTGGAAGGTCTCTTGCATTGTGTCATTTCTTTGCAGCAATCCTTCATGATAAGCAGGTAGCCTAGGAGACAAAAAAATCCTCTTCAACATAGAGCAGAACCAGGAAGTGTGTGATCTAAAGGCTGATGTATACTCAGAAACCAGGCCGTCTGCGTCTGCGATATGCCCTCCGCATACACTCTGCTGCACCTCTCCCAAATTGTAGTTGACGGCAGATAGTGCCCCAGACAGGAGTCCTCTGATTGGTCAAATCTACATCTGCTCTACACTATGCATATTTCCTGTTTGGTATCTTACCTGCTTGTTTTGTTTGTATCACCGCTATTGTGGAAAACGTCTCGTGAAGATAGACCACCTGAATCCCCGCTCTTCTTCGCCCTCATGTCCCTCCGTTGTCATACAAACTTGCCCCCACTTCCTCTCCGCCGTATCTAGACCCTCAGCTAGTTTGTGATTGTCCCTCTTGTGTTGTGGCGTGGAATAACATAGCGCAGAGAATGCGTCAATATTGGGCATAAATGAAAAATATCTGCCACAAGCTCACTGCGACACACTGCTGCTGGAAGATAACCAGCCCTTAAGTCTATAAAAAAAAAGTTTTCCCAAACAACAAACCTTGAAAAGAAGGTTGCTTTTTGCTCTGGTGATGTGCAATTATTGCAAGAAAAAGGAGACAACTGAGAGGGAATAAACTTAAGGTAGAAGTTTAGTACCAAAATAAAGTGGAAAGCAAATATTTTAGCGGCAACTCAAAACAAGCTGGGGAGGGTCTGAACATACAATGAACAAAGACAACAAGAAATGCGATCCTCTTCTATGCATTAATCAATGCCTTGTTGAGGAGTTAAATCAATATTGCAGCAGATTTGACACAGTGGATAATTAACAACAATGTGATGAAATTTGCAAAAATGACCTTTCAGGAGCACCCAGTTATCACAGAGAACCTGTTGCCAGAAATCTTTTTAAATTGAGCTCAAGCAAGGCCTCAAGGCCAGCCTACTAAAGACTGCTCCTCAACTATACAAAATTCTTTAATTCCCTCATTGTCACAGACATCTTAGAAACTCTCCCCAATAAGGCCAATATTAAAAAGGTCAGGGGCAAGCAAACCTGAAGATTTCAGGCCTAATCGTTTAGCCTCTGTTAAACTATGGAGAGAGTTCTGGATGATCTCTTCACCACCACCACTGAGCTGGACAGTTTGGTACAGAGGGTGCTTTATTGACATTGCTTGACATGGTCTCAAAACAGATTTGGCTTATTGAAGCATAGAGTTATTTATAGATAATTTTATAGATAGAAACTAATAATTTCCATACTTAATGATAAAACTTTAAGTTAATTAAATGTGCGGATGACACAGCCTTAATTGGACTGCTTCATGACACTGTTTCCTCTGGTTAGGCCACCTAGTTTGCCCATACTAAAGCTTTTGGAATGTGGTGTCATGATTGCCAACTAGAAATTAATGTCTCTTAAACTAAGGAGCTTGTTGATTACACAAAACCAGAACTGGCAATAGACCCAGTTTAACTTGAAGACTAGCTCATTGAACCTGTGGAGACTTAAATATCTGGCTACAGTCATTGAAAGTCACTTCAGTTTCTCTGCAATTACAACATTTAAATCATACTGTCCTTGTATCGGTGCACAGATTCTAGAGCTTGTGTATTTTGCTCATACTGAGAGTGTTTTGACCTTTTACCTCTGGGTGTGGTTTGGTCGCTTTAGTTGGGAGTGCAAGACAAAGAGGAAGGCTCAGAGAATTGTAGCAGACATTTTTCATCCTTTGTCCTGCCAGTTTGAGCCTCTGGATTCTTGGAGGCGCTATATGTTCCCCCTGAATAGAGGGTCTTTAAAATTATACTTTGTTCAAAACAACATTACTCTTTTGAATTCAACAAAGTAAAGCATCCATACATTGACCTAAACTGCTCTAGCTCTATGTATTTTACTGGGGCCTTTAACTGTATTTATGTTCTTAATTATTGCTTTTATCATTTGTCAGTGTCTGTACTTTAGCACTGTCTGTCTATTGAGCCAAAGACAATTTTCTATCGTGGTGGAATATCATTCTTTTCTTTCCTTATCGTTAGTTTACTTTTCTCTTCCATTATTTTCAAACCTATTCTATTCTATGCTAGTAGTAAGCAATCGCAGTACAGATTTTTCCTAACTGAACCCTGTTATGTACTTTTGTTTTATAAATGATTATTTTTTTGTTAAAACTGAGACTTATGCAGCATTTGTTGTCATTGTGTCATTTTTATCATGTACAGTGCCTTGCAAAAGAATTTGCCTTGAACTTTTTGACCTTTTATCACAATTCAGGCTTCAAACTTAAAGATCAATTTTTTTTGTGAAGAATCAACAACAAGTGGGACATAATCATGTGTGAAGTGGATTGAAATTTATTGGATATTTCAAACTTCTTAACAAATAAAAAAACTGAGTCATGGGTCATGCAAAATAAATCGACCCCAGAACTACCCCAGTAGTGAGGATCTCTAAATGATCCAATGTTGACCTAAATGACTAATGATGATAATAGAATCCACCTGTGTGTAATCCAGTCTCCATATTAGCACACCTGCTCTCTGATAGCCTCAGAGGTCTGTTTAAAGTGCAGAGAGCATCACGAAGGACAAGGAACACACAAGTCATGTCCTAGATAATGTTTTAGAGAAGGTTAAAGACTAATTTGGACACAAAAAGATTTCCTAAGCTTTAAACATCCCAATAAGCAACGTGCAAGCAATTAAAATATTGAAATGGAAGGAATATCAGACCACTGCAAATTTACAAAGATCCGAATGGCCCTATAAACTTCCTCAAACTAGGAGAAGATGCAGCCAAGAGGGCCATGATCCCTCTGGATGAACTGCAGAGATCTACAGCTGAGGTGGAAGACTCTGCCCATAGGACAACAATCAGTTGTGTACCCAACAAATCTGGCCTTTATGGAGGAAAGCCATTTCCCAAAGATATCCATTTAAAGTCTCCTTTTTAAATTTGTCACTAGCCACTTAGGAGAGATAGCAAACATGGAGAAGAAACTGCCCAGATAAGATGAAACCAAAAATCAAAGTTTTTGGCAACAATGCAAAAAGTTATGTTTCGCGAAAAAGCAACACAGCTCATCACCCTGAACACCCCATCCTCACTGTTAAACATGGTGGTGGCAACATCATGGTTTGGACCTGCTTTTCTTCAGCGGGGAAGACTTGTTAAAATTGATGGGAAGATGGATGGAGCCGAATACAGGATCATTCTGGTAGAAAACCTGTTGGAGTCTGAAAAAACCTGTGACTGGGACGGAGATTTATCTTCCAACGAGACAATGATCCAAAACATAAAGCAAAATCTACAATAGAATGGTTCACAAATAAACATATCCAGGTGTTGGAATGGCAAAGTAAAACTGAAAAGCTCTGCTGTGCACCTTGAAAAAGTGAGTTTTCTTATGAGGGAAATGATTCGATTTTGGCTGTTTGTTCAGATTGCCACAGTGGCTGAGCTGGAGGATGACGGGTCAGTCGCAGACACGCAGAAGAGACGGGAGCTCCTCACCAGGCGTCCGTCGTATCGGTGAGAACATATCAGTAGAAATCAAGGTGGAAACTAACAGTCGGTGCTTCACGTGTAAAGCTTGATAAAAGTCTGTGTTTGGAAATTGTTTTTATCTAGAAAAATCTTAAATGAGCTCTCGTCGGATTCGCCGGCAGTTCCTAAAATTGAGGAGGAAAAGGCAGAAGATGACACACCGGTCTCCAGCCCCACAGAATCAGTTCCTAACTCCATCTACCAAACCAGCACAGGACAATACAGTCAGTACTCGCTGAAATACTTCACTCTATACAGATATCTTAGCTGAATCTATGAGTTTTTAAAAGGAAATACCTGTTTACATGGTATAGGTATAGTTGTCATTTGGCTAAATGGGATTTTAGGTCTAATGATTAGGAAATTATGTTTTCCAATGAAGCACTGATATACAGTATATAACGGTAAACATCATTGAATTCAGTTTGTGATTTTCTCTTGGCAGTTTTCTGTAGATCATGAAATTCATCATCCAGGCTGAAATTAGTGCTTAGATACTCAGTAATATTGGATAAATTCCCCCATGGAAACTTTTTGTAGGCACTGGCAAGCTTGTTGTACATTTCTGTCTGATTGTTTAATCACTCTTCATTCGAAATGGAGAAATAAATGTTTTCCCTATATTTACTCAATTTAAAATACCAACCACACATTTTTTGCCAGAAATTAATTCACTTTGAATGTAGCTACTCTACCAGTGGGGTCTAGAAGAGTGATACATTTTCAATCCAGCTGTATGTTTGTTATTGCCATACTTAACTCTGCTTTTTTATCTTAACTACAGTATAATACTCATCCTAGATTGTAGCCTGATTGAACTTAAACTCTGATCTCATGCAGTTGCCATCGCTCAGGGAAGAGCCATCCCCCTGACCAGCTCTACTGTTGAAGCCCTTCAGGGAGCTCAGACCCTAACGGTGACTGGCTCTCCCACCCCTCAGACTGGAGCCGCAATCCTGCAGGCTGCAGACTCGCCACACCAGTTCTTTGTCCAGGGGGGACAGGTACTCTTCCAAGGTGAGTTCAGCCAAGGATGTTAGATCTTGTTAATGAAAATAAAAAATGTTGTTTAGACCCAATGATTACAAGTCATAGTATTTTGCCAAGGAGGAAGGAAACTAGAGGCAATGCCTGAAGACCTGGACACAGCTAACATAATTAGCCAAACAATCTTTTTTCACACAGATTCAACAAGGTGTTTCTGTGTTTTATTAACAAGATACTAAAAGGCATAGTATTCTACAGATTTTCAGTTAAAACTGAAATATCTTGGTTTTCCATTTACCAGTGTCTTTTGTTGTGGGGTATTAGCATGTTCTCCCCATGTAAGAACAAGTTCTCTCTATGTACTCCTGCTAACTGCCACTGTATGAATAGTATGAACATATGTCACTAGGCCTTTAAGCCCATGGCTGCAGGGGATAGGCAAAACTCCCAGTCCCACCCATGCGCCCTCCTGCCAACCTGCATAAAAAAGTGACTCAAGAAAATTTTTTGAGTAAGCATACATGTGTTTATGCTTAAGTACATGATTACTGTGGCACTTTCTCCTTTTTATAAGTTCTCTTTCCTCAATCCCTTCCCGACCCACCAATTAGCATTTTGGAGTTAGGTAACGTACAGACCCATTAACAGACTTTTCCTGTCATTGCCAATGATAGCTAAATTTCAACCCTTGAATCAGCCAAACTATCACAGTGTGATGAAGGCATCTATTGTCAGTGCTTTAGGGGAAGTTTCCTGTATTTCGACATCTTTCTCTGGTTAAGTGTTTCCCTCTGTAGAGCAGGATGATTTGTTAAGAATGTAATTCAGACCTTTGAATCAGAGACAAGGTTTATCATGCTGGCAATTGGCCTATAGGACCCAAACTTAACGTCTGTGAATTAGGGTGTTGAGAAATAACCCAAGTATTACCAAGACTGAAGTCTGTCATTAGCTGGAAATTGCCTGAAGAGCAGTGTCCATACACAAAGGAGCTAACTGTATATCACCCTGGACTGAACAGTCCATTGCCTTATCTACTGCTGCTACACCCACCTTCAAGTTAAAATTGTTTTCTGATGTTGGGGTAAAAGATTTAGGAAGGTGAAGACTCAACCAACTTATGAAATATATAGGAAACAACTTTGGGATCTCCATAAAGGCCACACAATTGTCTGCTAAGAAAGTTACTTTCTCTGTAGTTAGATTTATGTTGGAGTCCTCACCGCTTGAGAATTAAGTCCTTCTACAGTCACCTTAGAGGTGAACTTATACAAAAAAATGTTTTATTCTGTTGAACTTTTTTTACGGGTTAGATGGGACGAGGATTTATCCGTTTAGCTGCACACAAGAAGTTTGTTCGGAGGTATAATCAGAAGACTTTCAGACATAAAGACCAGAACACATCGTATCTGGTTTGGTGTGTTTTTGTCTCAAATTTGGATCCGATTCGAAAGAAAAGGAAATTAACAAGGTTGTGGTGTTTAGTGCTCATTAAAAGTCAATGGGGATGATTTCAACCGACACGATTTTAGGCAAGTGGAATTGTGTAGCTCCCGCTAGATAGACCTCAGGTCTATTTACGTCAGACTAAGTGGCAATTTAGCTGCAATTTCATGGGTCTCACATGAAGAGAGATGCAGTTACAAAGTAAAACACACCCGCTTTAGGGGAAAATGCAAAATAAAATCTGTTACTCACACGGGAAAAGAGTCAGTTTTGGAGTTGCACATCACAAAATAACAAAAGACATAGGCAACCAGTGTGTGCAATCACTGTCAAACATAGTATTTTGGTTGTATCATGCTGAAGGTCTTTTTTTAAGCCATTAGATCTGGTCTGTTGCTCAAAACAGAAAAAATTAATAAAGAAATTTTACTGTTTACTGTCTACTTGCCATTGTCTACTTAGTTCAACACCTTGATGTTGAAAACAAGCCGCCAAACCGCTTATCAGAACAACCAATTAGGAACTTTAAAATAAACTTAGCCTTAAAATATTAAATATTTACCAACTATTATAAATAACAATGTCTGTGGCAGGATGTCAAACTAATTGAGCTTCTTTAGTTCTGACTGAATATCCCAGAAGCTTTTTCTGGGCTACAAATCATTGACGTTTGAGATGTGTCTTCCCATGGGACATTTAACAAATGCCTGGAGTGTATATGATTATACTGCATTACGTCGACATTCATAGCTTATAACTATCACATTAAACACCCTGTAAAGCCTGAATGCCCATAATGAGTTTTTGCAAATGATCTCGCTGGAACCGTGCCTTCCCTGTTTGTTTTCAGTACCTGAAACTTTTGTTTTCCCATTAATGTCTTGCAGTTAAAATGTTTTCTTCAGGCTCAACTGTTATTCTCTATGGATTTAACCTCATTCAATTGATGTCAAACCTAAATTATCTCTCCCCTCCCTGTTTTTACCTCCTTCCAACATACACAAATGCAAAATAACTGCTCAACTGTTTGCATGGCAGCCACTTGGGACACAACATCCTCTTGTTTGTTGAGCGTCGCTGTAGTTGCGTCACTCGTTCTAAAAATACACCCTCCTCCTCCTCCTCCCCCCTCTCTGCCTGGCTCACATTGTGTTTCTCTGCCTCTCCGCCTGATCCGCACGGGCGGAGAGAGGGGAGGAACCAACGCTATAATCCAGGGTGTTTTACTGACTTCAGCGGGCACCAGTGATGTCAGAGTGATGTCAATGCCTGTAATTGTAATCGGGCTGCAAAGTTGGAGTGTGAGCACTCTGAAACAGGGAGAGCAGAGAGAAAGAAGGGTGTAATAAAGGAGACCAGGAAAGAAGAGATTTTATTTTTATTTTTGAAAATTCTTTGCTAAAGTTTTTTCCCCCCTGCCGTGGTGCTGGATTATTGGAAACAAGAGATGGCTGTTACAGGAGATGAGACTGAGTCAGGTAGAGTTTCCTCACTTCTTTCTACACTTACTGTGTTCAATCCTAATTATTATGTAGTTTTATTATAAATGTCAAGCCTTCAATGCAAATTAATGAGTTGTGAAATCGATTTGGACACTCTAACATTATGCCTATTGGAAATAGAGAAGAAGAAAGCAGACAGTGAAGAGTTGTACCTCAGGAGTCTGCAGACGTTTGTATGTGTAGTGCTGCTTTTTCATAGGCGAACACACACAGATCTTGTTAAGTGGTTGTCATGCAGGGAGGGAGTGGGTGGGAGGATTGGGGGGGGGGTTAGATGTTGCTTTGACGTCACTGCGTTTCCTGGAACACAAACGAGCCAGGGAAGAGGGAATGTAAAACGTGCGAGAGAGACGCACGCACTGACGTCAGCACAGCCCGAGTCACAGCGTTATCACAACCCGGAGAGAGAAAAGAGCGAAACTCTCGCTCTGTTTGTGTGTGTGTGTGTGTGTGTGTGTGTTTGTGCACCTGTTGCCTCTTTGTGTATGTGTATGTTTGAACGTGTGTAGACTACTGGATGTGGGGAGAAGACAGAAACTTCCTTTGAACAAAGATAAATAGACAGGAAGAAACGGTGCAAAGCAGCAAGCAGAGAAGTAACCTGTTGAGTCACTTGTGACTCAACTCAGAAAGAACATGAAACCACAGAGAGATACAACCCCCCCACACACACACATTGTGTTTTCATGTTTTATGAGGTCTTATCTTTGACTTCCATTCATTTGTCTGGCTTAACCCAGACCCTAACCTAAACTGAGTTCCCTCCTTAGACCTGAACACAAAACCAAGAAAATAACTCCTCTTCATATATCTGTACCTGCAGGACCCCATAATGTAGGATATTTAAAAAAAAACCATGGCCTTACACTGTCCCCACAAGCTAACAAAAACAAATCCACACTCACACACACACTGAGATGACTTAACTTTATTTAAAGAAAACAGCAGCATTCCTGTAATTATCAGCCGCAGCCGGCAGAGCTTTGATAAACACGTCGCCTCCCAAACACGGCTGCATATTCCTCCTCACTGAAAACATTTACCCTCTTTGTTTGTTTTTGCACCCATAAAACTCTAAACATTACAACCCATCCAGCTTTTATTGAAAAGGATTAAAACAAATGTGCTCCCAACTCTGCAAATGGAGAGTATCAGGTGTCATCGATGCTCCTAACTGATCCAAGGTTTGTCACCTGTAATTTTTTTTTATTATACCGCTAAATATAAGCAAACTTTTAAAATATCTAAGAGCTAAATATTTACTCAGAATATTTGTCTTCATAGAGTTTATAGAGGAAACTCTTGGACTTTTTTCTTTGTGTCAGTTTAGCAATAAAAGCGACGGATGGCCCTTCGGTAGTTTTCACACCATAACAGTCCATGTTTTTCACAATACCAGTAGAGTTTGACTGTTTGATTCTTGTTATTCTACTAGCCTTCATTTGGCCAGCTGACTGATAATGTGGGGATAGGGAGAAGCTGCCCTGTGACACTTTACTTCACATCACATTTAAACATCTTTGAACTGGGAAACCATAAATGTTTAAACCTTAGTATGCTTTAATACCTCTTACCAACCGACCCTTTGTACTGTTTGTAAATTACGTCTCCTAAAGCAACATTTTCTCTGAAAGAAAAATCAAACAAGAAAATGAAAGACGGCAAAAAAACAGCCCTGTGGTAGAAAGAATAAATCGATTTTTATGAACTGTAAAAACTATAGATATACCCAAAGCTGATTGCATAAAACAATGATGAAAATCAACCTAATAAATCAGCTTACAGACCAATCTACAAATCAATTTAAAGAACTATTAAAAAAGTAACATAACACTATTGATAATAGACAATGAAATAAATGAAAAAAGTAGATGAAATCAGCAGAAACTGTAGAATATACACATCTATACATTTAGATCTGGATGCATTTGGAGACAGAGTCACAGAGATTGCCGTTCAGACATGTGACTTCCAGTGGCTGCAGATGTTTAATCCTAGAGCGTCAGTCCCTGGTTTAGTCATTTTCGAGCAGATAATGACTGAACACATGAAATCACTTTTGGCAGCTGATTTGCTGTTAATGGACAATTACCTGCAGAGACACATGAGTTTGGAACTTCAGGGCAGTTATTTTAGACTTTCTTCGAAGTCAGTGGTTTAAATCATGGTTTTAAATGAACATACTCAGAAGGTGACCTTTAACTAAACAATAATAGTGCTTTACGGCATTAAAAGACTGGCAATTTTCAGTAAAAGCTACCAAAACCAGTCCTATGACATTTATATTTCAGGCCTTTTAGGTGAAAAAAGGATGAATTCTTTTTAAAGTCAGTCACTTAATGCATGTTTTACTGTTTCTCCACAGCTGCCACGGGAGACATCCCCGCCTACCAGCTGCGCTCACCCAACTCAGGCTTGGCTCAGAGCATCGTGATGGCTGCATCCCCAAGCAGCATGCAGAGCCCCTCATCGCAGCACGCCGAGGAGATCACCCGCAAAAGGGAGGTCAGGCTGATGAAAAACAGGTAGGAAAACAGCAGGAAAAGATGAGAATAGAACGGCAAAGATTTCGAGATTTTGACAGCTGCAGAACTTTTTTGTCTTTTAATTGAAAACAACTTTTTTTCACAATCATAGTTATTTAAAAACATTGCATTAAACCAGTGGTTTTCTCCTGTTTGCTTCTCCTGGGCACTAAAAAGTAGATTTTCTCCTCTCTCCAATGCAGGGAGGCGGCGCGCGAGTGTCGCAGGAAAAAGAAGGAGTACGTCAAATGTCTGGAAAACCGCGTAGCCGTGCTGGAAAACCAAAACAAGACACTGATAGAGGAGCTGAAAGCACTGAAAGACATATACTGCCACAAAGCCGAGTAGCAGCAGCTGCTGGTGCCCTGAAGACAGTTCAGAAACTGCTGCAACTTAAAAAGAAAAAAAAGACTCCAGAACAAAAAATAGACTGCTTTAATTGTTCTTGTTTCTTTGCTCACTCAGGCCTGACGTATGCCAAAATTACTAAGTGTTGTGGAGGTTCCAGACAGCTCGAGCTTGCCAGTTTTGCTCTTGTTCTTAACCTGTGCTCTTTGCATGTGAAGACTCTTGAGTGTAGTAAACTCTCCGCTTACTGTCGCTGTCATGTACGTGGGCGAGACCGGCCAATGAGAGCCAGCTGAAGGAGAGGAAACAGGAAGAGGAGAGGCAGATGCTTCCTGAATATCTACTGAGATTTTTTGCAAAATAAAGAAAACAGCTGGAAGTGATGGAGGTGGAGAGGGTCAGCCTGGTCTCGCAACCAGCAATTTTTATTTTATTTTATTTGTATTTTGTTTAACTCGGGTCAGATGAGCAGGAGGCACCACACGATCCACCAGCAGCTGCACCTCAAGATGTAATGTGTGAAATTAAAGCTTTTATTTTTGGTTGCATTCCCATCAATGAAAAAAAAGCACAATTAGGGAAATGTGATGTCACCGATTTCATTATTTCCATCTTAAAAAATGTTTATCAAATTCTAGATTGGTAAAAATGAGATTTCATTGTTTGTTTTTTTTAAACAAAGAAAACATTTGAATGTAATCATTGTTTGTAAAAAAGAGTAATGAGAATTTATTTTTCTCCACTTATGTGAAATATGAGTGTGTAGAACTGTTCAAGTCACAGAAAGTAACACCGTGTCAAATATCACAGATTTAATTCTGAAAAAATAATGTCTATCTTCTGTGAACCATGTTACCTGTAAAGAGATATCTATATCTGCAACTGTTCTTTAGTTAGAATAGCACCCTGTTTCTGAAATCCTCAAGTATGGAGGAAAACTGCATTTGTGGTCTGACCATTGAAAATACTCTGTTTAAAGGGTGATGCCAGTTTCTTAACACTGTTTTTGTAAAGATGATTTATTATAAAATGCAGCTTTTTATTAATAACTCTGCTGACAGATAAACATTAGCTTCAGTTCTCTGCCTCTTTTGACTTTGTAAAGTTTGCTCTTGTAATTACTCAGTTTAACAGCTTTTTCATTTCTGCTAATAATGCTGAAAATTGACCTCTTGGCTGCTGAGGCTCTTCTGGTGACAGTATTTATTTACTGTTTACTTCTTGGCATCTTTATTTGTCATCAAACTTGTGTTGCAGTTTGTCTCCATCTAGTTTACCTCTTTGATACTAAGTGAGGTGCTTTCTGTTTTGAACTCAGCTGACTTTGGTTTAGATAACTATCTTTGTGTTCTCCTTTCTTTGTGCAATTTTTGTGTTTAAATCGTACAACTGTTTTTGTTTATCTAATAAAAATGTGTACACCTGACAAGTCATGATTACTAATTATCACTACACTTTCTTTGTGCATTTAATGTAGCAAAATGTTAAAATAAAGAACATTAACATACGGTACATTGAAAACCTAATATATAAAGACACCGTTTTTAAAGCCAAAAAAACATTTTATTAGTCACCATCTGAGATAGATTAGATATATTTTAATTGTATCTATTTTCAAAATGTTATACTTTTTTAAAAAACAGATTTTTAAAAATTTATCTAAAGTTACATTTAGAAGTACATACAGTTATGTTTTTCTAATATTTGATTCTACTAACATGTTTTTAGATTGGACACAATTTTAATGCTTTAGAGTTGCCCAGTCAAAAACCAGAATGTAATCCAAGATTTAGAGGTTTTAAGAGGAGTTGGGTTGCTGTAATACCGTAAAGGATTTTTCCACTGGTTACTGGAAATAATTTTAATCGCTTTTCTAATGCATATTTTTCATTAAACAAAGTATTTGTTCAATTATTGTATACAGTTTTTAATACTTCTTTGGGGAGATGTCTGTCTAATTTTTCCTCCGATACAAATGTCCTGTTTGAATGACACAGATCTAAATCCACCAGGACTATGAATCACTTTGACATTTATTCTAAACTGCATAACTTTCACCTTCAACTATTGTATATCAATTGGGTCAAACATTTTGGTTTCCTTGTACAAACTTCTCACATCAGTTTGCTAAAATTTTGACCCATTCCTACACACAGAACTGATGTAGCTAAGTTGAGCCTTTGGCTCACTCATTGAGTGTCCTGCTCTACCCGCAAATATTTGACAGGACTGAGATCAGGGCTTTAAAATTTTGCTCTTTATTCTACCATAACTCCTGAACATAACAAGCAAGGAGTCCAAACTGTTCTGTTAATGGAGTGCCACCTCTGATTAATCACGGTTTCTTCTAACCGTGAGTTAGCCTGACGTAGTCCGACTCAATTCTAGTCAGAATATGAGTCTGATACTGCTCCATAGAGCTGTGATTATGGGGCGTGTTTCGAACGAACCAGGAAAAAAAATGCCTCTGCACTCAATTGGATAGACCTACAACCAATAAGAGCAACGGAGTGCGTGACGTATGTTAAGCGAGGCATAGTTGTTGTCCACAAAAATCAAAGCGTGCAGTTTCACGCCTAGAATAATAAGATGAGACTTGATCGCGATTCTCTGTTCCTCTTTTAAAATTAATTTGCTGTCGATATCTTCTAGAACAGACCTAATAGCAGAATCTACTCACCCAAACTCTCCAGCGGCAGCCATTATTGTTGTCACCCAAGCGCGCTTTGGTCAAGTGGTTGATTACGTTACTCTTGATCATCTGTCCATCATCGTATAAAGCCCGCCCTGACAATTTGATTGGATCGCCTGACAGTGGGCGATAATACTCGCGCTACTATGGAGCAGAGCCAGACCGAACTTCCCCGAACTCAAACCTTGTGGGCGGGACTAAGTTCGGACTGGCACCCAGGCTAGAGCTGAGTGCCTCTAGGTTAAGAACCATAAGAAGGTGTCATTTAAAATGTCAAACAAAAACCAAGCAAAGGTGTGAAAATCATTTCACATTTCAATTTCCAAATCTAAGAATAAGGCCGTCCCATTTCTATCACTTGCACTGGTTTTGGGCCATAGCACTTGGTTTTGCATGTTCACGTGTAAGGGTAGTATGTCGCAATAATTTTAAGAGGTAGGGGGAAGTGCCCTTCAACCCTTAAAATTATCTCTTTAAACCAAGGGTGGTCAAGAGCTTGACTTGGAACTAAGTGGCTTTCCAGAACTCATTTAGTGAAAAGAAAAATGGAATTTGGCTGTGGAAAAGAACTGCACAAATGTATTTTTACAATTAATCACTCACCTAAAAAAAAAAAAGTATCAATATCTTAGTTAGACATAAATACAATTAAATCCCGAACCGTTGTGTTAGCAAAATTGCTATTTTTTGTACTACACAAATATACCGATAGACTTAAAAAAATAAAAATAAACATAGAGTAGGACCATTATGCATGACAGCTTTTAACAAAATCACTTTATCACCTTTTCTATCTTGAAGTGTGGAATTGCCACGGTCACTATAGCAGCATAGACAGTTAGCATTATGCATGATTGTCAAATATTCAAAAGCTTAAGTGTGATGCTGGCCAATAGAAAGCTCTTATAGCCATATGAACAATATGTCAGGTTTGTACATCCAGACACTATTTTAAATTTCCTTCAAAAACTGTCAGTCTCCCATAGTGTATTTGACCCTCTTCTCCACCTGGAAAAGAAATCTAGAACATGAACGCAACCTATAGTCTTAATAAATGAGTCCACATATCGTAAACAGATGAATAAGGTCAAAATAGTGGCGGAGCCATCTTCGGTTTTGCACATTTCTTCTCTGTTGGTTGAAAGGTCATCAACGCCAAAGCAGTGGGTTAAACACACCGAAGGTTGTGACTCACATTGTTTAGGCAGGTGAACACGTCACTGAAGTGTACAGGCAATGTATTACTGCCATCTACTCGGCTGGTTTGTAATTTTGAAACTTGTAGTGTTCCATTTCTTAGGGAGGAAATCTTCACTTGCACTTACCTCATTGAGGGGACTTCATTGTGGGGTGATCTCAGAGCTAAGTAAGAATAATGGGACTGGACCTAAAACTAGAAGTTCAACCTGCACCTTCATCAATAACTCCATCATAAGACTCTTAGGACTCTGTCACACCTTGCCGATTTAGCCAGTGTATTCCCAACATCCCAGAATCTCCTAAAACGCTGGCATACGCTGAACTTTCTATGTATTTTTTTAAATTTTGGGCGTATACATCGAGTATTCATAATGAGTCCAGAACATGTGTCCAACGACAGCCTAACTTATGCATAACGCACAGCAGCGTAATGCCCATGAAATGTCACAAGTCAGTGTCCTGAGAAGGCAGCCATACGCCCGGAGGCGCCTGGCCTGCATGAAAAGATGTCTTTGATCGCAGTATAAACCTAGCTGCTATTTACCACCCACCCAAAAAAATGAAAAATAAATGAAATGAAAAAAGAAAGAAAGAAGATTTACAGTCACAGAGGACTCAGCCTCAGCTGAACACAAGTCACTGATAGGTTGTGGATAAGCTAGACACCACGACTTATGAGTAACTTTCACTTAACGTATGTCTACAATGAGATAACTTACCTGTATCTTATGCCCCACGTATGGCATACGCTGGGATAGGTCAAGAAATAGCATGCTCACAATTTCTCGACATCAGTGTACTTCAGCGTGCTCATAACTTATACAAAACGTACCCAAAACTTATCCTGGCTAACAAATACTTAACATACTTCATTTTAAAGAATACATAACTGATATTACATAGTCATATGATGGCCCACTGCCTTAGGTACATGTTCATACTGCCCCCATTCTAAATGGCATAGACTAAGCAAAGCATTATCATTTTTTGGAGCATATTGACAACAGTGCATCATGCAGTTGCTGCAGATTAGTTGCCTGCACATCCATGAAGAGAACCACTGTTTCCACCACATCCCAGTGGTGTTCTACTGGTTTGAGATGAGAGGAGTGTGGAAGGGGATGTAGAACAGTGAAGTCTTTATGTTAAAGAAACCATTCTGAGATCATCTGAGCCTTGTGACATGGATCATTATCCTGCTGAAAATAACCATAAGAAGATAGACCTAATGTGGTTATAAAGGCGTAAAATGGGTCAGCGATTATACTACGGTAGGCTGTAGTATTCAGTCAATTCACAGTTAGTACTTCTGTATGAGTAAGAATGTCGGTAAACTCAACCGGTACACCACTGCCAAAAGAACCAGGGATACAAGGCAGGATGGATGAATGTTTTCAAGTATTGACCAGCTCCTGACCCTATGACAAAGGCAGCTGAAATTAAGCATCTCTAGACCTAGGAACATTCTTCCAATCTAATATTATTTGATTTTGGTGAGGCTTTTTGAGTCAGAGCCACAATTTCCTGTCCTAGCTGAAAAGACTGGCATCTGATTTAGCCTTCTGCTGCTATAGCCATTCTCTTTCAAAGTTTGATTTGTTGTAAATTTTCACATTATTCAGCAATATTCAAATTAAATAAGGGGTAATTTTGTCATGGCTACCTTTCAATCATCTCTAACCAGTATGCTTGTCCTTCTCAGACATCAACAACATAATTTTATTCATTCATTATTTTATTCATGCAACTGCCGCTCAGTTGACATTGTGTCTGTGAAACCGTGGCGGATGGTTGTCTGTAAAAATC